CGTCTGCCTTCCCCCTGACCTCCTGACATCACCCGCCAACCCTGTCGACATGCAGGGCGTCCTCCCACCCTGCATGTGCCCTGGCGCTCGACCTATGCCCCCTGCTTGCCCCGTCCCCACCTGTCAGCTGCGTCACCGCTGCTGAGCAACAGGCGCAAACAACCCGCGTTTCCCGGCCAGCTCTGAGGAGCGCGAGCGCTACCGCGGGTTCAGTGCAGAGCAGATCGGCTTCAGATGGGCAGAGGTGGTCTGCCCCATCACAATGCTCCAAAGAAGCTATGCCCATATGCTTGGGGACAGCATTTTCATCTGGAAACCAACCATTCAACACTGAAATGGTGTCACACTAGGGATATTAACGACTAATTGACTATCTGATAAGCAAATGCTTATCAGACAGTCAACACACTAGTTGACTAGTTGCTTCCACCCCCATTTGCTGCCTCTATCAGAAAGAGGCAGCAAGGAAGCGGAGAAGAGGAAGGGGTATTTCAAAGCAGCAGTGCTGCATGGAGCCCTGGACCAGACCCCGGGCTCCATGTTTGCACTGCCACTTTGAAATGTTGTGTGCAGCCTGACCCTGGACTCCATGCGGCACTGCTGCTTTGAAATGCCATCAGGAGCACAGGGATGGTGGGGGACTGCTTGAGTCCCCTGTTGGCCCACAGTGCTTTTGCCTTTGAAGGGCTGTTACTATACTTCAAAGGTGGAGGTGCCCTTACTGGCTAATCAAATAGTCGATGCAAATTGCATCGACTATTTGATTAGCCAGTTAATTGAAATTTTACATCCCTACTTCACACAGTCAAAAAAACGAACAAAAAACTCCTTCGGTGGAGCTTGGTTCTCCAAAACTTTAACATATATCACATTTCCAAAACTTCTAACAAAGTGGTTGATATGAGAGTTTCCTAAACTTAGTTCATTAAAACTGTCCCTATAATCTGAGTTATTGTATTCCATGAGTGTGGAAAATCTTGTTTAGTTTTCATGTATTCCGTAGAAAATTTAGTGTGTGCATGTATCTTCTTAGCTACGTTTTCTCCTCCAGGAAGAAATCACAACCAGAGTGTCCAGCCTACCCAGCATCCTCTGTGATTGGAGGGGGGGGAAGCATGTGCTTGATGGGAGGGGTACTACCATTTTCTAAACATCCCAACATTCAGTAACTGAAGGGTTAAACCCAGAACAGGGAATATTCAAGAAATGTTGCCAGAGAGCCAGGAGAACCAATGGGAAAAGAGGGAAAGATTTTTTGAAATTAAATAAGTTTTGCCTGTTTCAGATTCCATTGTGTGTGAGTTAGAGCAGGAGCTGGGAGAGAAATGGACTAAGCTGTAATAAGACATGGATTTTCCAGCAGTATCCATGTCTACAAAATGTAAACCTAAATTTTGGAACAACACAGATGTAAGTAGAACAAGTAATGTTAATAGTTAGATGCAATCAGATTATTTTCTTTTCTTGGTTTGTGGGATTTCTCTGTGCTACTTTAAAAACAAAAACAAAACAAAACAAAAAACAACCCTGTACAATATAACTGAATGCCAGGGAAGCAATTCTCTGTGCTTTAATCTTTTTTTAGTTGTTCTGTATCACCTAGCAACCAAGTATGCTTTAGCAAATATATCTTCTTTGTGTTGTTAATAAAAATCACCCTTTTAATCTAATTCCTGTATTCTAGAAAGCAGAAGGTTCTATGCGCATATGCTTGATTCAAAGTTTGTCATAATAATTCTCCAAGCAACGTCTCCAATTGGCAAGGGGTGTTGTCCACCATCGCATTCCACATAGAGACTAAAAATAAATGATCAGTGTATTAGAAGAAATACTGAATGCTACCTGTAGAAGCTTAATGATTTCACATCTTGATGTGGACCAGCATACACCTATTCAATGGTGCAGCTCATCCATCTTTTGAAATATAAAAGTAAATTGGGTATGAGGGGGTACTTAGAGATGCTCAAGAAAGTTGTAAAACTTCCATTCTCTTTCGTATCCCAGTCCATCTGGTAATGATTCTGACATAACTGACTCTTTTTCTTCCTCTTCATGGTTTGCCTATTATCTTGGCTCCTATAGTATAAGTACTACAAGAACACCAAAACTCTGCTGGCCAGAGTCATCTCTCAGAGTATGTCTACACTATGGAACAAAGCCGAATTCAGATAGCATAGCTGAAGTTGTGTAACTGTGTAGCTGAAATTGAAGTAGCTTAACTCAGCTTTTGGCGCTGTCTACATTGCAGGAAGTCGAAGGAAGAACACTCTTCCTTCAACTTCCTTAACTCCTCATGAAAGCAGGGTTACCGGCATTGACTGGAGTCCCCCTTTCACTTTGAATGAGTTATCTTAAATAGACCGCTAATTTGAACCCTGGAAGATCGACAGCAGCAGCTTCGATCTACCTCTGGGTATGTCTACACTACAGCGTTATTTCGAATTAGCTTATTTTGAATTAACTAATTCGAATTAGCGTTATTTCAAATTAACTAATTCGAAAGATGTTAATTCGAAATAACGCAGCTAGACCCAAAAACTAATTTGAAATAGCGTTTTGCTATTTTGAAATAACGCATGCACACTGATTGGACACTAGATCACATTTAAGGGCAGCTGAAACCAGTTCCAGCAGGGCATCAGGTCAGTAGTTGCTTTGTGTGGCTGCTGTCTGAGGCTTGTGCTTAAAGGGACAAGTTATCAGCTTTCCCGCTTGCTTGCCTACCTCGCCGAGGGACAGCAAAGCGTTTTCCTCTCCGCCTGCTTCGGTCACTCTCATTTGGGACACCGCTGCAGTTGGCACCATGGAGCCAGAGCCGACCCTGATCACTCTGGTGCTCATTCTGAACGTGTTGCTGCAAGCCTGGCAACAATTGCTGGAGGCTGCCTGGCACCTTCTGCTGCAGGCCAGCCCTCTGGCCCTCCCCCTGCCCTCCCCCAGGGCGGAGGAGCGGCACCCAGACGCCAGCGTGCCCCACCACATCTGACGTCTGGATACCAGCAGCGACTGGTGGGTCCACTACGTCCAGGAGCGCTGGGGAGACCAACAGTGGACCCAGAACTTCAGGATGAAGAAGGACACCTTTCTGGAGCTCTGCGAGTGGCTCGCCCCTGCTCTGCAGTGACGGGACACACGCATGAGGCCCACCATTCCCCTCCACAAGCGGGTAGCCATCACCCTCTGGAAGTTCTCCACGCTGGATAGCTACAGATGTGTCAGGAACCAGTTCGGCATGGGGAGATCCACCGTTGGAGCGGTGCTCATGCATGGTTCCATTCTCCATCTGATGTCACCAACTGACCAGCAAGATAAAGGAATTACCTACCTCATCCATTACTAAATTTATTTTTATTTTTTTGTGTATTTCTTGCACTACTGCCAAACCTCTCTATCCACCTCCTAATCCCAAACTGTTATACTTCAAAAGAGGAATAAGCTTCACCATTGTATAGGTGTATGCTGGTACGTATCAAAACGTGCAATCATTAGCCTCCTAGAGGTAGAGTTCAGCATTTCTTCTAATGCACCAATCATCTATTTTTACTCTCGATCTTGCTTTTTATAAGCATATTGCAGATCTAGCAAGGTCTGCTGTCTTTTTTCATCTTTGACCTTCTTGAACATCTACCCACAACTTATCAAAAAAGATCTCTCATGAGGATGCTCTCCTAGCTCTAAAAATATGTAGATACCAAAGAGATGCATAAGGCTGCACCAGAAGATCTTGTGTGAGGGTGGCTCTTCATCACACGATAGGTCTTAAAACCATGGAACACGTGCAAAAGGAGCCAGAGTCGGTGGGCCTGTGTAGCCAGACACGAACCCATCTTGGTTTCCGCCCCCCCCGCCCCCCAGAGAGCAAGAGAAAGGCAGTCAGCCTTTGATGCCCTGGGAACGCAGGTGTGCTGCCTGTCCCTGACTCTACTGTCTGTTTTCTGTTTATGGTAAATGGGCTAGCTGATGACCCAGGGCCTCCCATCACCCTGATGACTAGTACCAGTAATTGACACACCTTCACTGTTCCAGAAGAGGAACCTTTGCCCATCATATACCAGAGGTGCCCGTTGTCTGCATTTTCCTGGGTGTGAATTATGCTTTGCACCCTTTGTGGGAAACTTGGTGTTCAAAGCCATTTTTCCTAATTGGCCACTTGAGACCAGGAAGAAGCCTACGTAACCCAAGGGGTATAAAGAGGGTTTAGTAGCCCACCCCAGTTGAGCTCCAATCATCTATACCTGCTGTCAGGTATTGATTGTCTCCCGAGGTCTGTGGGACGCCCAACCTCGCCCTACTTCTTCCCAAGGGATTGAGAGAAAGACGCTGGCCACGCCAAGTCTGGAACGCAGGGGTGAGACTATATACCTGCTAGGTGTCTATTTGCATGCATTTAATAAGAGCTCAGAGAACCAAAAGGGTTTCATGGTACCTGTAAGTGACTTCTTAGTGTAAATTCTGTCCTGTCCTTTGTAGTGTCTGTTATCTGTAACACAGCAGTAGCATTTAACAGCTAAGCTTACCCTGTAACAATAAACCTGTAACTGTTTAAGCTTTAACCTGACTCCTTCCGTTGCTGTAACAGAACCAAGCACAATTTAAAAGAACTCCAGCCGGTCATAAGGGACTCACTGCCCTGACCCGCCGACAGCCCGACCCCGTTTGGTGGCAGGAACTCCCGACCGCAGCGCTGCGGCCCATGGTGGCCAGTGGCCTTTCGGCCCTGGTGGGGAAGGATCCCGAAGCCGAGTGCCACAGCACAGGCAGCCATTGGTCACTTCGTGAGGCGTCTCGAGGCACCCACCTGACATTTCTACCGACCTACAAGCTGCCTCTGCCCGCAGCGACCTCTCCAGACAGCGCCGCTGGATCTCTGGCTCCACCCGACTGCCAAGGATTTCCCGATACCTCAGAGGCGGGGAAGAGCCAATCTCCTCCGGCCTCCCTCTCATTGAGCGTCTTAATTGGTCGATATGCTGGTCGATCATCCCTGAAGCAGCCAACCAGAGGCGAGGATGGGAGGCACGCCCCTTCCCTCGCTACAAAAGGCGGGGGTGGGGCGGGGAGGTCGGTGGGAGCCAGCTGCGAGCGGGCGTTTGTGTTGAAAGTGCCAGGGTGGCTGCACTCGGTGTTGGCTGCGGGTCCCGGCGCACGGTAAGGGCTGGGGAGGATCCCGTGTGCGGGGCTGGCTGGGGGCTGCGGTGGGGGGAATTGGGAGCTCCCGGCTCTCTGCCCCATGCCCAGGCGGGTCTGTGGTTACAGCTCGGCGCGGGGAGCAGGCGTTGAAGCCCCCACTTGCACTAACTTTATGTCTCGGTGTTTGAGCCCGAGGCTCCTTTTTGTCCCAGCGGGGAGAACAAGCTCTGGCATGTCCCTGTGGCGGGGGCGGGGCTGAGTGACTGGAGAGGCTGCTGAGGCTATTCAGTCAGCGCTACCGCTCAGCTATCTGCAAAGTGCATCCCTCACACATGCTTCTGAACTTGCGTCTGGATTCCTTCCTTGTAGACCTAAAATGCCAGCATGGATTCCTCTATTTTGTGATCCTTCTAAGGTGCCTACTAAAGAGGATGGCGGCTTCCTGGCCGTGACACCAACTGAAGATCATTCAAATCCATAATAATAAAATCAACTGTAAAATGTATACTATAAAGTCAGAAGCTTATTTTCCTGCTGTTATATATCAGAACATGGCTTCCTAGAGCAATGGACAGTCTTTATAAATCTAACTAGAACTAGGCAATGTTAAGGTGTAGTTCTGTTCTCCTGGGGAAGCTGGGGTGCTTTCATGTGCTTGATAGAGCATTTTTGGCATTGATTGATATTGGTGGGGGAATGTAACTTCCAGCATACCATAAAGGCATCTTTGAACTCTTTTTAGTAGCATCTTTCCTTAAGTAGCTGTCTCATTACAGATGATTGAATTTCTTGTCACAACTGAAGTCCAGAAATTGCTATACCAACTCAATATTCTATTGGAACAAGAGTTAAGATGTCAGCCCAAAGCTTCTGGCCTGAGACTAATTGAAACTGCTCATGATAATGGTTTCCGAATGACTGCAAGATTGCGAGACTTTGAAGTAAAAGATCTCCTCAGCTTAACTCAATTCTTTGGCTTCAAAACAGAAACATTTTCTTTAGCTGTGAATTTCTTAGACAGATTTCTGTCTAAAATGAAGGTATGTTTTGGAAATCAACATACTGATTTTTCCATAGCTTTCCTTCACTCACTCAAGAATAAAATTTTTCAGCTTTAAAACTAGGCTGCTTGAACAAAACTTTCTAATTTGCATGAAAACTACATAGTGCTTGACTTCAATAAGATTTTAATTGCTTGTTAACATTTTTATTCTAAGTGTACACTTGAAGTACAGCCATATCATTCTAGCACTTCTATTGTATACTTCTGTAAATATCACCTGTTAGCAATGGTATCCCACTAGTGCAGACAGTACACATACCTGTGAGGTAGTAGCTAGGTTGACTTAAAAATTCTGACCTAGTCATCTCTATATTGCGGATGAGGTTAATTTAACTGTGTTGCTTGGGGTGGGAAGGGAGATGTGGATTTTTTTTATCAACGTAGCTAAGACTACTTAATTGTCTGGTGCAGACAAAGCCTATATCTCAATGTGTGCAGATATGTCAGTTCTAGGGATATGTATCCGAGTACGTGGTTACTCGGTGCCTCCTCTCCTTGCATTGCCATCTATGTATCAGAGGGTGCACATGGGGAGCTGTTTGAGCATGCGCCCTGTCCCCTCTACTGCCTCCATCAGAGGCAGCAGTGATGGGGGAGGACAGGAGCCAGTGCTCCTGCCTTCCCTGCCCCTCTCCGCATGTAAACATGTGACCCGCTAAAAACTTCAGCGGTTACATGTTTACACAAACACATTTTAACATTCCTTGTCAGTTCATATTTTCAATACAAGATATCCCTGTATATTCTTTTGAACTACTTCAATACAAGAGTTTTTCATGTCTGAAGTGCTAGGTGCTCAACAGACTTCAGATGTTGAACAGCGCTGAGTAGTTTTGAGGAAGGAGAGATGTGGGGATTGAGTACTCATAACTGCACAGCATGACCAGAGGAACTCAGCCTACATAATGGCTAATAAGGAATAAAAGCCCTCATCACCAATTACAAATCTTCAGATTCCTTGTAAGGGAGTTTAGTAATATTTAAAGGGGGGGGGGGAGGGGGAGTAGAAAGATTATTAAAGGATATCTTTCGATTTTAAAAGCTTAAACCCAACCTAGTCTTTTTTTAAAAAAGGACTAGACATACTTGCTTCTGAACACATGGCAGTTTCCTTCACTGTTTTGGAAGAAATGTCCATTAGGGTTAGTTTATTCTGTTCTTCTTGTACCTCACTGTCACTCCAATGGGATACCTGATTAGATGGACCCTGATCTAACCTGGTATAGCAATGGTTAGATTTCTAATACAGTAAGGGTATGTCTACACAGGGCTAAAGCCAAAATACGCTATGAAATGTCAGCTACGTCAATTGCATAGCTGAAGTCAAAATAGCTTAATTCATCTTTTGGTGCTCTCTGCACAGGAGGAAGTCAAAGGAAGAACACTTTCTCTGACTTCTCTTACTCCGCTGAAATGAGGGTTAACAGGAATCAGGATTAAGAAGTCTCCAGCTTGACATTATTTTGAAATAAAGGCTTGTGGTGTAGGTGCACTCCATTATTTTAAAATAAGAGTGTATGTCTACACTACAAGCCTTTATTTTGTAGTAACAGATGTTATTTTGGAATAACTCTGCTGTGTAGACATACCCTTTGGGAAGTTCAGTATGAAAGGGAATAACTCAATTGCACTTATGTGTGGAAGGCACAGTGTGAAGTACTTTGGTGCATATGGCCTGATATGGATGCAGGAGGGTCAGTTACAACATACAAAATGCTTGCTACCTGCAGACCTTGGTTTAAAGTGTGCCCAACATCTATTTAGAAAACGTTTGTTTTGCTGACCATATTAAAAAAGCTTTCATTATAATAAAGCAATTGATCTTTCTTTTTAGGTGCAACCTAAACATTTAGGCTGTGTTGGACTGAGCTGTTTCTATCTTGCTGTGAAAGCAACAGAAGAAGAGAGAAATATTCCCTTAGCCACTGACTTAATTCGAATAAGCCAGTATAGATTCACTGTATCTGACATGATGAGAATGGAAAAAATTCTGTTAGAGAAGCTATATTGGAAAGCTAAAACTACAACTGCCTTTCAGTTTCTACAACTCTATCACTTGCTCATCCATGAGAACTTAAGCTGTGAAAGGTAAAACAATTATTTCACCATGACTTTGAAACTTGACTGTGCACTGGAAAAGATAGATGGAAAAATCACTTAAGCTATCTAGTCTTGGTTTAAATTGCATATATGAAAGTGCAAACAATTATAAGTGGGTAAATAATGACTGCTAAGGCCAGGCAGCTGGCTTCCAAATGATGCTTACTGGTTAAGGATGTTTACTGGGTAACCACTGACATCCCTAATTGATACTGAGGTCTAATGAACTAAACTTTCTCCTATTATGACAATGTTTACTGCTAAAATAAATTACCCAGAGCATAGCTTTTGATCAGGGAAGCAGCCTCCTTGAACAGATACAGAAGTTAATGCATTGCTGATCAAGTGGCAGATCATCTTTCACATGTCCTCACTGAAAAGACAGTTTGTGAATATCCTTAGCAAATTTTGATCTTGAAGTAACTAGGTCAACAAATACTGTGGGCACATCAAACTTGTAATGCTTCTTAGCTGGGCCAGAACTGGAGTTGAAAGTCAAATAGTTTTTACTTTCAAATGCCATGTTGCCAGTCTTGCAAATGTAGAAAGAAATATCAGTATGTGTAAGACAAAACTTTATAGCTTAATAAGCTGCAATTTTCAATTTTATAGTACAGAAATTGAGTTCTAGGGCTAGTCTACATTGGGAACTCACATTAGCATACCTCAGTGGAAAAAAGTCACTTTGATGTAGCTATGCTGACCTAACCCCTAGAGGAGATGGTACTAAATTGACACAAGGATTTTTTTTATTGATTTTACTATCTCCTCCCCAGGAGATGATAGTAATCTGCACCAGTGTTTCTCTACCAATGGTACGAGTACCTTTAGAGGTACATCAACACAACTGAAATTTGGAGAAAACTGATTTTTTTTAAGTTTTACAGTGTTTTATTATTTTTGTACTTTTTACACTCAAATGTCATTGTCCAGCCAGCTACAATTAAGTTGTTTAAACAAATGTGTTGCAATGGTAGAAAAAGATTGTCTGAAAACTGTAGGTAGTGGGGGTACTTACAATTATTTTATTTGCTTATTTATTGAAAAGGGGGTACTCTATAAATAACACTGCTCTATACTGATAGGAGAATGCTTTTGCCCACAAAAGCTTATGATACCATATACATTTACTTTCTAAGATGCAATAGGACAACTAATTGTTTTTAAAAATTACGGACTAACATGGCTATCCCTCTGATACTGCCAATAGCATAGTTAGTGTTTACACTGGAGTGCTACAGCAGTAGTGCTGTAGCAGTTTAAGTGTAGCTATACCCCAAAACTAATGCCAACGAAACTTCAAAAAACTCAACATCTATGAACTTGGGACGGTGTGGGGGAAGCTTGTCAATTCTTTGACAAACACTTCTGGGAACTGATGGATCCCTTAAGCAGTATCCAAGAAAACATCCGAGCAATTTTGTATTAAATGCTAGGCAAATTTCTAAGGCTGTTGCTGTCTTGAACTGATTTATATACCTAAAGAAAATTACATGCTCGCTAAAATTAACCTTCCTCTAAATGCCACTTTTGTAGGAGAAAGCACCTTAATTTTGAGAGACTTGAAGCCCAGCTTAAGGCATGTCACTGCAGAATCATGTTCTCTAAAACCAAGGTAAGTGGCTTCTAATACCATAAGCTTACTGAGTTTATTGAAGCTTAAACAGGCTCAGCTGTGAGTATTAACTTTTACTTTGTTTCCCTTAGCCTTCTGTTTTGGCATTATCAATATTGGCACTAGAGATAGAAGAACAGAAAATGCTAGAGTTGAAAGAAGTGATAGAATGCCTTCAAATACAATCCAAGGTATGTCATGGAGAAAATGAAGAACAGTGAAGGGTAGAGCCTCTGAACAACTTAAGCATTAGGCTGTTGAACATAATTCTGCTTTTTTGGGATACTCCCCTAAAGAAGGGATTCTAGTTTGGTACCATTAAAAGTGGAATACACTTTGAACCTTTAATCTAACAACCATGGGGAACAGGGTAAGATGGATTAAAGACTTGCTGGGCCAGGAATGGTACTTTGGGGTCTGGGTATGAGGGGGTAGGGGATGGGATGCTTAACTGGTGCCTTGGCTCTGACCCCACTGCTATTGGAGTAGCAGGGGAGAAGCCTCATGGGAAATGTTGCGCTGCTGTTTGCCAAGGTGGGGGAGCAGCAGGTCTCAGAGCCACTTTTTCTTCTGCCTGCCAAGGTCTAGACCATGGGCTTTCCCGAATTGGGGGGACAGAGTACAGAAGTTCATGTGTAATTCTTTACTTATCAGGTTTTACTTGATCTGACTTTTTCCCCACCCTCACTTCTTGATGGAGAGATATCAAACTTGCTGGTAACTTTCATGCAGACATTCATGTGACTGGCTCATAGGGGTTGAAAAGGCACAACAGTCCTCCAGCTTCCATGATGTGAATAAACAATGAAGGAAGACGAATCCAATTTCTGCTCAACTTGACTATTACTATCATCCACATAATTATGTGTTTTGCTGCTTCCCTCTGTAGTACCTGGCATTGGCCACTGTCTGAAGACAGGATAGTGGGTTAGATGGATCTTTGGTCTGACCCATTATGTTTACAACTTACACAGTGTCGTTCTGTGGAACTATTGTGAAACTTGTTCCAAATTGAACAACTAGTCCTTTCATTTGGAGAGGCACAGTAAAGCACAAGTAATATGAAGTATTTTGTTCAAGCTCTTGCTCTTGAAACACTTGGGTTTTTAAAAACTTAAACAGTTTCAGAAGCTGAAATAGCTTAGTAAATGGAGGCTGATTCTGGTTGACAGTTGGAAGACTGACTAGCACTTGCTGGGGTATAGTGATACTACTCCACAGGTTGAGGGTGGTATGGGGGGAGCAGCAAGGCTTCTTCAGTGGAGAGTTGGGGGAGGAAGGTTAAGAACTAAGGGCTTCAGGTAGTCTGTTGGCACCCAACCTTGTTCCCATCACACTTCCCCCAAGTGGCATGTGGTTACAAAACCTTCCTTTAATTTAGCTTGTAGGTGGTGAGAGGGAATTAAAATACCTGGGAACTTGATGCCTAATACTAGCTTCAACCTTTCTTCATTCAGACAAATAGCAGAGATCTAACTTTCTGGAAGGAGCTGGTATTTACGTGCCTTAAAGAATACTCATCCAACAAATGTTTAAAACCAAATGTTCAGAAGCTTAAATGGATTGTGTCAGGATGTACAGCACGGCAGCTGAAGCTTAGCTACTACAGAATCACACACCTTCCCACAATCCCAGAGACTGGTTTGTAATAGGTAACTTTCTTTATCTGCCTTCAACTTATATTTGTGCACAAGCAGGAATTCTTAAGCAACTAAGCTTACTAGACTGAAGGAGGTTTCTACAGACACCCAGGCACAGCCTAAATATTCAACTTGGTTGTCAAAGCATTCCAATGGCCTGTAAATCCTTGGACTCATGTTGCTGACCTTTAAGTGCATCAGCACTAATCCTGAATTGGAGAAAACAAACTGGAAACCCTCCTAATGTCTCTTACAAAGAGTACCAGTTATTTCCCATGTCAGACACTTGAATCTCACTCAGTGCAAAGTCTGGGGCACAACTAAGTGAGAAGAATAAATGGTGGTGGATGTTTCACACTCTGCTTACATAGAGAAAGGAAGAGGAGTGTTTGACACAAACACTAAAGTACTGCTAAAGTACAATCAGTGCACCAAAACTTTAAGTGGACGTTGGTGTTAATCAAGTTAAAATTGGTTTGTCTGTAATGAGATATTCCTAACACAGTCCATGCAATAATCATTCTGAGCTTTTCATTAGAGAAGTTTGACATCAGCTTTGTAGACTACAGATTTTATAGGAAAATCCTACTACTTCAGTTCACAGGACATTAATGCTTTAAGCCATTTCTTTCCCTCTACCAGCCACACTTTCAAAGGCTGTTCATTATAACTCCAGTGTTTGTAACTCAGTTTCTAAACTGACAGGTTGATCACACACTCCATTTGGACCTGGAAGTGCAGTTAGGCAGCAGAGACTTAAAAAAGACAGACCATACAGTACAGAATTGTTAAAAATAAATCCCTAAACAAAGTGAAAGCTAAACAAAATTTGACAAGGTAAAGAAACTGTTTGTGTTTTTTAAACTAAAACTGCCACTTTCCTTCTGCATCATGTTTCAAAGCTGTATTAAGTAGTGTTCATTTGAACTTTGAACAAAACATTATGGTTATTGTTCGTAACTTGAAAATCTCCCTTTGAGGTCATAACTCTAAGCTTAATGTAAATACAGTAGAACTTCAAATTATGACTATCTTCTAACACTATCCTATGTATTGGCTAGACAAGCTGTTCATAAACTTTTTTATTTGAATATTGTTTAGATTTATAATGTCTGATAACCTAACCTTGCTGAAACAGACCTTCAGGGGTGGGTTGGGGAGAAGTTCAAGAGGAAAAAGTAGGGTAGGCTCAAACAATAACAAACACCACCCACCTATTGCTGAGTTGCTACTGTGTGTTTTGGCTTTTAAAAAGTGACTTCCCAGAGTCATTTTTCCCATCCATCCTACTTGCAGGGGTAGAAATTGTCTTGCTACTTGAGTATTGCATGAAGCCATTTGTAGTAACAGTTAATGTCTCTTATGCTGTCTGCACAGGAATCTTAAAATGGAAAGAGGAGTCTTCCATTCAACTCCGACCTCAATATTCAACTGTGGAATTGAAAACTGAAGCCTAAAACATGAGAACTGTTTTAGCATTTGAAGTTCAACTCTTGGAAAATGGAAACCGCTAGAACTAATTCCCTTTCCATAGATGCAGTCTTACTATGCTGACTACAGGAATTTACTAAACACTTTCCTGAAGGATGAATGACTAAAAGCATCTGATTATTGAAATATGCATAAATAACAGCAAAGAATCTGAATACTCCTTTATGGTAGTGAATAGCCTCAAACTCTGTATTTAACTAAGAACAACTAGTGTAGTTTAACCTTGGATTATTGCAACTTGACTCTTCATATCCTAAAACTTGTACTTGAACCATAGGAGGCATAATGTGCTTCATGACTGAGGCTACCAAATTGTCTAGGGAAAAGCTTCCTGTTATTGAACTGGATAGTTTTTTTGGATGCAGTTACTTCAGTCAAATGTTTTGTATTGTTGTGCTCTTGAGTAGCCATGTCCTACTGCACAAGGCAATTGGTTCTTTCTGAAGCAGTCCAGTCTAATTCACCTTCAATGCAGAGTTTGTCAACTAAGTTAATAAAATACAAATTGGACAGACATGTGCTGGGAAAGCCTGCATTGTTGTTGAACTTGGCCATCCTTCCACCCTCATTTTTGTGAAGTGTAACTTTGAGAGATTGAAGGTATAACTGTGTACTGGCTTGAAACGTTAATAAAATCACTTATTTTGTTATTTGTCTAAAATCACTTGCATAACCCCAACAATAGTTTTTATTCCCCCGGTTATCTTGTACACATGGGCAGGCCTTGACAAATTATACAATCTACTTACCTGGAGCAAGTAGATTGTAGCCTAGAAAGGCCAGGTTTGGGCGATCTGCACATGCGCAGATTGCCAGACAGCATGGCTGGTGCGCGGGGCTTATCAGGGTTCAGCAAGCCCTGCACATGGGGAGAAACTCTGATTACAAGAGCAACTTACATGCCCTCAATGGAAACTGTGCCAGTACCATAAGATGACATCCAACTTTTGTTGCCCAAACAGGAAATTGCATTTATACCCTGAGTTTTGAATTGGATATGTTACTTGGAACAAAAACAGCTCAACTGCTAATTGATCCAATGAAAGATCTCACCATTGTCAGTACTAGCTCTTTAGCAGTAGAGGGAGGTTAGACCTATCAGGTAGTATGTTCATTTATGAACCTATTAGAGCATAAGAATAAACAAAGCTGTAGTGCTTGTAAGTTCATAAAGGGAATAGCTGATGTTGGGCTGTAGGTAGTAGCCTTAGAATACTTGTTCTAATGCTATGAACGTGGTACTGATCAAACATTAATTTCCTGTGTGCATTATTTGGGTAATGGGAGAAAATTTTAACTATTGTAATGGTGCATCAGCCCCATGCTTCATCTACTTTCCAAAAGGTAACATTTGGGGGAAGTACTCTTCACCTTCCTTCCAGAGTAGTAAAAGCATTGCCAAAGTTTCTACAGAGCATTTTAAACCACTGTTAGGTAGTGGACAAATTAAGAAACACTGTACTATGAATGTTGCTATCTGTTTGGTCAAGGCTAGTAACATAACTGTGTACATAATGGCTGATCCATAGAAGGGGTAAGAAGCAAAGGATAGGGCAGGCATGGGCCAGTCTCTGGCACAGACCAGATTCAGCCCTGGTTTACCCTCATCCAGTCCTTGGGTAAGGTTGGAGGGAACCCTCAATGGGGTAAGTTATGCTTGCACTTGAATCCCATGCAGCATGTCTGTCTCAGCACCCCCTGCAGGCCTGGAGTATGCATGCAAGGCAGTTAAATACCAGTTAATTTACTAATTGAGTATTCAGTGGAATTTCCATCAACTAGTCAATAGGCACTTCCACATTCCTCCTTTGAAATGTACGACAGCCTCTATAGGGGCTTTTGTACACATTAAAGGAGGAAAGCAGAAGGCTGTGTGCAGTCCCACTGACCCCAGGCTCCAAGAGGGCACTTACCCCATGGGCTCTTGTACATTTCAAAGGGTAAGCACCCTCATGGAGCCTGGGACTCAGAGTCCCCTGCTGATCCCGGGTTCCATGTGGGGCTGCTGGTTTGAAATGCATGGAGCTGGGGTCAGCTGATCCAGGGTTCTGTGTGGCATTTCAAAGGAACCCAGGGACTGTGTACTGGCACTGCTGTTTTAGAACATCGCCACATTGTTTCAAAGCGGAGGCTTAGTGCATGCCAGCTCAACCTGCTACAGGGGAAGTCCTAAACCTTCATGTCCATCCCCTTCTCTCCCCTCCCCCCCACCCTCCCAGGTAGGGTTGGAGTGGAGGAGAGCTCTGCTGCCCCTGTAGATAGCTCTTTTGTAAAAAAGCCCACAAATCAGACATCTTGACAAGAGTAAACCAGTTTTTCATTTCAACCAACCTGGGCCTAGTGTTAACCTTACTACAGGCAGTCCCCGACTTACGTGGATCCGCAGTTATGAATGGGGCTTTTCTTGCCCCGGAGGACATGGGACTGCAAGACCTCGCGGCCTCGGGGGAAGCCGCACCCCCCCCGCGGCTTTGCAAGGCCTGGGGGAAAGCCAGCCGCGGGACAGCCCAGAAGAGCCTGGCTCGGCTTTGCTCCTCCGCGGCTTTGCTCCTTTGCTCCTCCGCGGCTTTGCTCCTCGTCTTCCTGGAGACCCCCCAGCAGACCAGGGAGACACGGAGCAAAGCTGGGGAGGATGCGGGTGGGACCGCGGCGCATCTCCACAGTCCCGCTGTCCAGGTTTCCCTGGTCTGCTGGGGGGTGCAGCTAGTGCGCCCCCCCAGCAGACTAGACTTTTCTTGCCTGGGGAAGAGCAGCTGGGGCTGCTGGGTTGGTCCTGCAGCGCCGCTCCTCGGCGCTACTGGACCAACCGGGCAGCACCCCAGCTGCTCTTCCCCAGGTGTCCCCAAGTCAGCTGCTGCTTAAACTGATCAGCGGCTGACTACAGGAAGCCCGAGGCAGAGTTGCTCTGCCCCGGGCTTCCTGGAATCAGCCGCTGATC